TTTTCCTCTTTGTCGCCATCTCTCTGTTCGAAATCTGTAACTGCAGTGATTCGCGGAATTATCATCTTTACGTGGGTTGTAAATCGGCATGAAACAGCGCGGATGAACACAGTGCTTTGAGGCGAGTGCTGCTGTCAGTCACCGCGCTGTGTGGATACTGTCATACAGAATCACAGATTCACTTTTTGAAAGTTTGACCAACATAAGAATTTTCATAAGAAAATGTCTTCTGAACAAGTAAGTAAAATCCATTTTTGTTCTGACCAACTAAGGGGGAAAAAGCATTCGACATGATAAGCTTCGTTAGATTTAATCAGCGCGATTTACAGCAACCGTGCAAATTATAGCCTACTTTGTTCTCAAATTGTTCATGTTAACAACATCAGCATTGCGTGACTAATGTTAAATTTAATGTGTTTTATGGTTACCTGTGTAGTTCAGAATTCATATTCTCCATGATAGCAAAACGAGAAAGGCACAACAAAGGAAACTCCATAACTGTGTGAATTAAGAAAACGTACTATTACACGATTGAACTATTGAAATGTCTTACTTGTTCAGCAGAAAAAAGCCGTCTCTTCTTCCGTTTTGAACCCCTTCAAAACACGGAGTTCACGCACTTTTCAAAAGCCCCGCCGATGTTTAATCCTTGTGTTCGCATGAGACGGTTTCTTTCTCTTTCTCTAGCCACCTTAAATCCGAAGTACGAAGTCTTTTGGGTTTTATAACTGCTGAATCTCCAGTTGACACTGATGATTGTTGTTTGGATCTTTCTGGATGCCATAAGTTTAATTATGTAAAGTGCTGCGAGAAAAGCCTATACATCTAAACATCTCGTCACGCGCAGTATAGCCGGCTAGCCGAAACTCCTTCTTTATGTGTACGGGTGTGACGTAATGACGCAAAAACATGCTCAAATTTCCCGCGGAAACCCACCAGTACCACTGGAATTAAAATCATTATTACAAGCTAACCGTTTTGAATCTAGCAATGGCAAGCAGATAGTTTTGACCACTAGCAGAATAAGTTTTTTTAATATAATTATTTTGGATTATTTTTAACTTAAAAAAGTTACGGACTGAAGCTTTAAGTTGATGTGTTTCCTGAGTTTTTCTGTGGATTTTTTGATTAAAGACTGTTTCCTTGAATTATTCTTGTCGTACGTTTCATTGTCACATATATATATATATATATATATATATATATATATATATATATATATATATATATATATATATATATATATTACAGGCATGTTTAAAAAAATGGAAAAAAACACAACAAATCATACTGGTCTAAGCAAGTTAATAGAAATGTGATGCATCTTTTTTTATAAGGCTACAGAAATTGGCCAAAAGGAATAGCCTATTTGTAATAAACACTACTTTAAAACAACATTACGCATACTAACCAAGTTTGAGAGGGGCCCAGAAGCAACAACAAAACAACTTTTGCATATTAATAATTTGCTGCCATGATTAGCCATGAATAATTATACTGTGAAAGCTGTTTAGCATATTGAACTAGAGTGACATGCGCTACGTGCTCGAGTCTCCTGGTACTGTTAAACCAAGCCGTTCAGAAGACGTATCATCATTTGTTTTTATGAACCTCGCTGTACGGTCTCCATGGACAAAGATAATTCAATGAACCATCAGGTCATTAGCACAGAGCAGAATAGCAGGCTTATCTTAGTAAAAACTCATTACGGAACGTACCACCATCTTTGTGTGATATGCTAACATCGTTTCCATTTAAAAGGGCTAATTTGGCAGATAGAGATGTATGAAATGATTGCATTTTGCAGGTGGTTTGCAATTGTTTGCTGTCATTGGTAATGAAAACAGCTTCATGCTCCACTTGCTAAACTGTGTCCCCCGGTAAACGCCTCATATATTACACCTCACTGATACTAGTGGAGGTTTTCCACATGCAAATAAGCTTTTTGTGAAAGTGGGGATGTTGAAAGATAATTAACAGCCTAATTAATCATGTGTAGACAAGACACGCCAGCTGAACGCCTTGTGCCAGTGTGACACTGCATGGTGTATGACATGCTAGTGTGACAGCTTTGAATATTTTAAGTTAGAACAGGGTGTCTTTAAAATTAGCACATTAAAGAGAAACCATGTTTGAAGGGAGCTGTTTATTCAAATTCAGGTGTGTGTGTGTGTGTGTGTGTGTGTGTGTGTGTGTGTGTGTGTGTGTGTGTGTGTGTGTGTGTGTGTGTGTGTGTGTGTGTGTGTGTGTGTGTGTGTGTGTGTGTGTGTGTGTGTGTGTGTGTGTGTGTGTGTACTGTGATTCTAGCACAGAGATCTCCTGAGACAATGCTGCTTTAGTTACAAGAATTAATCTTGCACAGGAATTTTAAAAAAAAAGTTAAATGCTATTTTCCATTCCAGTGCTCTACTTTTCCACTATTTTTCAATGTAAATGCGAGACGGACATCTTTGTTCGTTGTGCTCGCCACACGACATTCTGGCCTTGTTTACAGCTAAGATGTACATTGGTCGATCGGATCACAAGTAGACGAGGGAAACACATTCCCGTTTACACCTGGTGTTTTAATCCGTCTCTTCTGTCCACTTTCATCCACTTTTGTCCTGATTTCTTCAAATGGAGGGTCTATGGGTGGGTAAATGTATGTCTTTTCCAGATCTATTAATCTAATGGACGAAATAAGCTCATGTAATTTACATATGAACGCGACTGGAGACTCAGAAAAACACACTGAGAGCATCAGCTTTAGTTTCTGCTCTGACAGATTAGACCAGCCGAACGCATGTGTGTGTGTGTGTGTGTGTGTGTGTGTGTGTGTGTGTGTGTGTGTGTGTGTGTGTGTGTGTGTGTGTGTGTGTGTGTGTGTGTGTGTAGGAATCAGGAATGGTGAGAGAATATTGTGATTGGTACGTTTTTCATCTCCAAACCAAACTTGGGTCTTCTTTTGACAGTTTAAACCCTGTCTGGCTATCGCTCTTCCCATAATGTTCCCGCATTACATCAGCAGCCGGAGAGAAGACGGCCTTTAGTGGCTGTTTGAACACATTCGATCACATGAGCGTTCACACTACGAAAGCAATCCGGCCGAATGTGTTTTCAACTAACGCTGTGAGTGGAGGAAACTGGACGAGCTCAAAGCGTTTTAGACCCGTTTACTCCTGTATTTAGAGTCGTCCACTTGTGATCCGATCGACCAAAACACATCTTAATACCAGCTGTAAACAGGGCCCTAAAAATGCGGCACTCAGGTTAAAAGAAGATACATTTTTAAAAGATGCACTGTTTCTGTTTTGTTCTACTGACCTGCGTCTCACGTTTTTACCAGCAAAAATGCGTTCTGTGTGAACCGGCCCTTAGTTAGTCAATGTGAAGACATTACATAAACATGCCATTTCTTGTGTTCTGTTGTGTTATTGTGCAGATGCTGTGGACGTAGCCTACAGAAGTGACAGTTTCATTTTCACAGGACTCGCATTTGGCCTCTGTGTTTGATTCTTATTGATTTTTCAGACCTATCATTACAAGTGGACGTATGTCATGGTTTACAAATGACCCAGTGGTTTGGGTGATATGAACAACAAAGCTCCATTAGTTATGAGATGGCAAAAGCACTAAGAGAAGCAAATCACTGAACAATGACATCAGGGATTTTCAAGCTAATGCAAATATGATACAAGAAAGCAGAACAAACTGCAGCTGTTATTTGACCAATATTTCCAGGAAAGCAAAAGTGTTTGAAAAGCCTTGGTGGCATTGTAGCTACTAGCACAAACATTTGATATTAATTTATACATGGATTTGTATACACATGTACTGTATGTATAACAGTATAATCGGTTACAGTATAATGTGTTGTATATATTTTGTTTATAATGTGTATAGTATTTCACTAAAATGTATATAATGTGGAAATGAAAATCTAAACAGCAAGGTATAGTTTTAGATTTTGGTTAATTGTTTTATAATCCAATAAAACCTATAGAAATTATGAGTGTATACATACATGCTGTTTCTTGTCATTCTGTTTGTTTAATATTAATGACACACATACACACACACACACACACACGTAAAGTTCGGTTTCTATGGTTTATGGGAACTTTTCATAGACATAATGATTTTTATACAGTATATTCTTTCCCCTAACCCTAAACCTACCCATCACAGAAAACTTTCTGCATTTTTACATTTTCAAAAAACGTCATTTCGTATGATTTATAAAGCTTTTCTTCACATGGGGATTAAAAAAAAAGGTTTAAAACCAATTAAAATACTGGTATTAATATTTTGTCCCAGGCACACAAACACACTCACACGCGCGGTTTTAATGTGAGTTAAAAATCTGTTATGTCAGGTTTGGCTTTAAACATGCTGATGGTGGTGTAGGTGTAGGTGTGCATCATCATGAGACATACAGTAACATAAGGGTGAACACCATGGTATTCGTCCTGAGATGCTCTGAGAAAAAGAGCACTGGCGTCCTCTGCTGACCATGAGTGATGAAAGCACTGTTGATGATCTACTGACCTGTCTGTCCTCTATTCATATTTGAAATAAGTAATAAATAAATAAATAAATAAAATGAGGCTTTCAATTTACATTGTACAAGTGTCTAAACATGAGAAAAGTAGTTTGCTCACATGAGTAGGCTACAAAATAGTCAATAGGTTAATTATAGATATATGTGTAATATGAGTAAGGCTATTTCTGTGAATGTGAGAGACATACATTTCATTAGCTGGTAAATACGTAGAAGAAGAACAAAGTGCAGTAAATAGTCAAATTAAAATACACACAAACACACACATTTTTTTCTTTTAAAAACACCCTCACAGCAGCGTTAACTAGTTTTTTGTAATATGATGCAAAGGTAATATAATACAAAGTATAGTGTTGTAAATGTACATACGTGATACTGCAGTATTTACGATGCTCGTGAGCGTTAAAACACGTGATCACAGTCTGTGAAAAGGGTCCAGTGCTTTTCATTTGACAGTCACTGCTGATGTCATTTGTTTTGCTCTGTACCGGAAGTGCTGCTGTGACATCACAGGGAAACTCAGCTGGGCGATCAGAAAACAAACAAACTGAAGCGTCCTCATCATAGTCATAATCATCATCATCATCTTCATCGAGTGACCGGTGTCATACGACAGCAACAGGCTTCTTTAAAACATCCGATCATTTCCGGTAAGTGCAACGACAGCTGAAGTGTTGCAGATCCCACACAAACTCATTTGCTGTACTGTAAGTTTATATAACGATCACACACTGCTGACAGCTGAATAAATCCCATCCAGCCTTTGATCACATCATTTGTGTTATCGTAATGTTGGGTTTAGTGGCACTTGCTGCGAATAGGAATACACAGGCCACTCTTTACAGCTATATGATGTTCACAATTTGAAAATAAAGGGTGTCAACCTGAAGCTTGACACTCTTTTTTTAGCCCTTAAGATGCTTTTTTATTTTTTATTATGTATTCTCATTTATAATTAAAATATTGTGTTTCTTGTTTCTCTGTGGTTATGCAGCGAGACAGACAGGTCTTTGTTTCCTGTAAATGAGAGTATGTCTTCTTCCTATTTACATGGTGGTGTGATATAACATTCTATTAATAGTAATTAATAACAATGGATGACATACACAGGATGAGGGTCCAGTTCTATGTGTATTTACTCATTTCTCTCCCTGTTCTTTCATTTAGCAGCAGTGTGGAACAGCACACAAACATGTGAGCAGGTTCACTTTGTTTGCATTTTTGTGTCAAGATGGCTGATGATTTGGTCTCCTGCACGGCCCGCTCCGCTCAACCCTGTGCGAAGCAGAAATACCGCAGTAATGCCCATTCACAGGGGCTGTTAGACGGGCTCCTGATGCTGCGACAAGGCGGCATTCTGTTCGATGTGGTGCTCTTGGTGGAAGGAAACCCCATCCAGGCCCACCGTATTCTCCTCGCGGCCTCCTGCGACTATTTCAGGTATGTATGACACTCCCTTAAAAATTAGGGGATTTTTTAAGGTTATGCTCACCGAGGCTGCAAATGTAATGAATTCCTGCATTTTCAGCATCATTACTCCAGTCTTCAGTGTCACACGATCCTTCAGAAATCATTCTAATGTGATGATCCGCTGCTCAAGAAACATTTCTCATTATTATCAATGTTGAAAACAGTTGTGCTGCTTTCATATTTTTGCGAAAACCGTGAGATATTATTTTTTCAGGATTCTGTGATGAATAGAAAGGCCAAAAGAAGAAGCATTGTTTCAGTTTCATTGTCCAAACCCCTCACCATTTTTAATAGGCCTGTTCATTTAATATTCAGCTGTTTTGCAGTTCACCAGCAGTGTGACATACTTTCCTAGAAGAACAAATATACCAAGTCTTTCAATTTATATGAGATTATAAAACTACACGCCCAATAATTACACAATAATCATAAATATTTTTTTTTCATATTACACCACTCTCACATAAACTACTCAATAGATGCTGAGAATACACATTAAGTTACTAATCATGTCAGCGATCAACAGCCACTTTATGTGACATCATTTATATGTATTTATTTATTTATTTATGTGGGTCCACCATGTCCATGACACATAAAAAATATCCATGATAAAGGAGAAATCAAAAGAATTCGAGAATTCAGATATTATTATAGAAGAGATGTATTTCTCAAGTCATATGTATGAATTGAAATGCATTTTGAATAAATTAAGTTAATACTATTAATGGTTTATTACCTATGATTATTTTGTATTTTTAAAGATTATTGTAAAGCTACCATGTTCTTGTGAAAGAACTGATGAGCTGAACTTAATCATCTTTATTGTTCGACCTGACTCTCAGTTGTGTATCTAACACACACACATTCCTTCTTTCCTTTTCTTAAGTTATATTTTGGGGCTTTTTCGCCTTTATTTAGATAGGACAGTAGGAGGACAGACAGGAAATCATGGGAGAGGAGAGAAGGAAAATGGACCGGGAAAAGACCTTGAGCCGGAATTCGAACTCGGGTCACCCGGAGTCCACCATGTCGGAGCACTTGCCCACACGGCTATGGCTCCGTATAGCATGCTTGATATTCAAAAGATTGAGCTACATGGTTATTGTTTCCCTGTACAGTGTTTCATTCCTCTCTGTGTTTTTTTAGGGGGATGTTTGCTGGCGGTTTGCGGGAGATGCAGCAAACTGAGATCCCGGTCCATGGAGTCACACACACAGCGATGATGAAGCTGCTGGACTTCATCTACACCTCAGAGCTGGAACTGGACCTGGACTCGGTTCAAGAAGTGCTGTGTGCCGCCACTCTTCTGCAGGTGCAAGATGTGATCGGCTTCTGCTGCGACTTCTTGTTCTCCTGGCTGGATGATGACAACATCCTGGAGGTGGAAAAGCTCGCCGACATATACGGGCTGAACCAGCTCGGGGAGAAAATCCGCTCGTATCTGCTCAAGAACATCCAGACTTTCTCGCGTACGCCCGTGTATCGAAAGCTTCCTGCGGAAAAGATCTTAAATGTGCTTTCCAGCAACGAGCTGGAGGTGAGCTCTGAGAACGAGGTGTTTGAAGCAGCCCTGCACTACCATTACACCCCTGAACAGGTGGAGAAGGATGAGGTGTGCTTACAGGTGAGGAACAGATGGGTTAGTGATATCCAGTAGTGGACAGTAACAATCAAGGCTTGACAATAACACCCGGCAAAATACTGCGTGTGTATTTCAGCAGTGGCGTGTAACGCAGTCACTCCTACTAGCCACTTTGACGGGTTGATTTCATTTTATATGTTATATAAAAGTTTTTCAATATACACGTTGTCAAAAATATCGATTTTTCAATTCATATCGATATTGAAATATCTGAAACGCTTCCAATACTCATTTTCTGCAGAATAGATACATGATACCAGCTGCTCTCTCTCTCTCTCTCATTTCTCCGACAGCGAGTGACACACAAACCCGCCTCTCCTCACTCACTCCTTTAATAAGCTCCGGGTGAATATTGTTGGAATATTGAATATTGTTACAGGGCTTGAATTTTGGTGTGGGATCGCGAGTATTGTGTATAATTTTACTCATTCCTGCAGATTTTGTGCTCACACCCAAAGTGCGGCACATAAAACCGCCCCTCAGAACTAAACTGAGTTCTTTTTCACTGCTTATTTCGCTTAAACGGTCAAATACACACAAAATAATGTCAAAATGTCGGCCTTGGCGAGTATTCACGTAAACACAGTCAGTTATGTTTAGCAGTTGAGAAAGAAAACGCATGTGTAACAGTATAATGGATCTGTGCGTGAGGTGTTAAAGTGACAGCAGCCTAATATTCCTGCTGCCAAATTATTAAAAATATCTATATGGCAGTTTTTCCCCATGGTATCGATGTCAAAATTGTGGCCAGTGAAAATGCTGAGTGGCTTGTAACTTTGGAAAACCACTAGTCACAGCGGCTCCTGAGCAAAAAAGTTAATGTCAAACCCTGGTAACAAAGTATTTCTAAGTATTTTTATTTTGGAAAACTTTTACTTCACTACATTCCAAAGCATAATATCGTACTTTTTACTCTACTACATTCCATAAAAACATATCATTTCTCGTTATTTCTAAGTGAAGAAATCGCCACCCCCTCTGAGACGCAAGAGCGAAGTCCGATTCGTGAACGAGTTGATTCGTTCAATGAACCTGCTGAATTGGTTCACAAATAACACTGAACGATTCATTCACGAATCCACAGCTGTTTTTGAGTCAACACTGATTCAATTATCCAGTCAAAATGAGCCAAGGTATATCGTCCTCTGAACTTGAATGTGCTTGTGACTGATGGTGCAATAATTTACTAATGAATTTTAGCATTGATTATTTGAAATGAAATCATATTTAGGTCACTTATTTGTTAAAGTCCCCATGAATTCAAAATTGACCATACTTACTTTGTTTGCCTAAATTGATCGTTTTGTGGTGAACAATTCTAGCCTGGTTCTACCAGACTCTCGTACATTTCATTTGTACAGAGAGTCTGGCCTCGCTCCATTGAGAAACGTTTACTTCCTTGTAGGCGGGTTCTCTGTTAAAGTTCAAAACTATTGGATCTGCCCAGCGTCACTCAGGATCTGCCATAGCCAATCGCTAACGTGTGGTCGTGACGGATGTCATGCGCCGAAACCGGCTGGAAACAACAAGTCCGAATTCCATATTCATAAATCTAAATATCTAAATGCTAAACCTCTCTTTCTTATATTTGTGAAGGAATTTTAAAAATACCTCTTTTCAATTAAGTTGTCTGAGAACAAAAAAAAGCCTTAAAAACATTATCTGTTTGTAATTATTTTCCTTTTTTCAGTGTCATGTAATTCTCTTAACTTGTTCATGTTTATTTTATATTATCCCCCTACTGTTTTATTTTTGTTTTTATTATTATTTTTTGTTTGTTTTTGTATTATGTTTTCTGTTATTACTTGTGTATTGTTTTAAGCAATAATAAAAAAACAAGTCCGAATGATCAGAGGATTATGTTTAGAATAAGATGTCTGTCAACGAGAGCTGCATGTTTTGTTCATCGAATTTAAGAGTTCAAGGAACAATTCTAAATTCTAAATGTATATTTGACACTAAGGAGGACAGTGATGTATTCAGTCAACTGTCGAAGCTGGGTGTAATCAATAACAATACGCCGCTGCGGTCATTTCGGATCTGCCGCAAATGCTGTACAGTGATCATCGTGCACGCCGAGCTGCCCAGCACCAACTCCTAACCTTTCTGCCTCCCTCACTTGGTCCTCCATTAGTGCAACAAGAGGAGACGACAACAACTATCGGCTTTGCATCCTATCGTTCGCCTTAGCTAACTCATTCACCACTAGCGGAGTGAGCTGGAAAATTAAACTTTTCCCGAACCCCGTGGGGAGGAGGGCCACAACATCATGGCCACCAACAACACTTAGCAAACATTAACGGCTTTAACTTCTGGATATTCGGCAGTTTTGCAACAACGGACCGAATAGATTTTCTCACGTCTTTCTCCGCTGCCATTACTGAACTCCAACTCAAACTGACGCGCTACATTAACGTCATCGTTCTCAGCCACTCCCTCTGTTCGCTGATTGGACCGGTAAAAAAATTATTTCTGGAAACCAAAGTCTACAGCACAATCCCAGACGTAGTACTGAAGGAAAATAAAATTGAGCGGAAGTGCGTAGGAGGGCGGAGCCAGGCTAGAACAATTCATCCATGCAAGTCAATCCACACAAAAACATTTTTTGGCTTCGTAATCTTTAATCAAAATCTGAAATTTCCCCTCCCCTCTGCATTGGAGGACCTTGCCTGATGACGTAGGTTTGACGGTTTGGGCGTCTGCTTAACATCCGAAACCACGCCCCTCCAACTGACAGTAGACAGGCTGAATGAAAACACCTACTTTTCTAGATCCAATCAGGTGCTAGTTGGGAAAAAAAGCCACGCTACTTGCGTACATTAAAAAACAAATGCTTTTTATACTCAAGTAAAACTGAAAATGAGTACTTTGTCTTATACTTTTACTGGAGTAAGATTTTGATATGGTAGCTGTACTTTGTCCACCACTGGCGATATCTAAATCAAATGAACTCTTCCTTTAGGATCCGCTGCGGATGTTGGAAGCGGTGCGGTTCTGTCTGATGGAGAAGCATGTGTTGCAGCGCTTGCACAGCCGGTTAAAACAGTGTCCGCTACGAGACTCTGTGGCCGCCGCTCTACGTTACCACAGTCAGGAGCTGTGGCAGCCGGTCATGCAAACCCCACTCACTCAGCCTCGCTGCAGCTCCCAGTGCATTCTGGGATTTGGTGGCATGTATTCGTCTAGCGCACTGGTGGACAATGAAGAGCGGTTCCAGGTGTTCCACCCCTCCTGGGGCGAGTGGCGGAGTCTGGGTGCAGAACGTGCTCCTCGCATGTCCAACATGGGCATCGCCGTGCTCAATAACTTTGTGTACTTGGTTGGCGGAGACAAGAACACCAGCGGCTTCCGGGCTGAATCTCGATGCTGGCGGTAAGTGGCAGTGCATTAAGGGCCATACACAACTGGACGAATATCGGTGCGCGTTATTCGCCAGCGTTTTTCAACGCGTTTTTTGTGTTCACACCCAAGCGATTTTCGCTGACGATGAGCCAAGTGAACATGCAAATTCATTCCCTGACATTAGATGGCGCCCATTTGCTCTGCAATACCACTCCATAACAGTTCTCTTTTATCAAGATTTTTGTAGTCGCTGTCGCGTTTGTCATATAGTTCTTTATGTTCCGACACCAACGAGACCAGCAGCTCTACATTCATCTTGCCTTGCATCTTCCTCGTCTTATTTCTTCCCGGCAGTGTAGACGCTACTTGGCGTATATCTTCTTCGCCGTTACGTATGTGTGCTCGGCAAGACCGCTTTGTGTTTGAGCGCCCCCAAGTTGTGTTTAACTGTTACTTCAGAAGCTCCAGACACGTGAGCAAAAGCGGCAATCTCATTGGTCGGATAGTTTTTGACGTGTGCGTCAAACTAAAAAAACGAACCCGAGGCGTTTTTTTAAAAATGACGCTTTTACGCGTGGCGTTTTTCGCGTCGGTGTGCACACTCACATTGGCGCCCTTTGTTTAGTCACGAGGTGTTGAACGTAGGCGAATATCGCACAGGAAATTCGTCCCGGTGTGAACAGGCCTTTACGGTCATATTATTATTATTTTTTATTTATTTTTTAGATGGTGAAATGCACCTATGCATCTAGAACGATTGTTAGAACCATCATTTCCTGTTTAAAAGTAGTTTCCCGCGGTTTTTCAAGTTTGGAGGCGCTTGAATTATTCATATTCAAAATGGTAAGCAAGCGCTGATTTGTTAATGGTTTATAAACACTCACCTAAAGGATTATTAGGAACACCTGTTCAATTTGTCATTAATGCAATTATCTAATCAACCAATCACATGGCAGTTGCTTCAATGCATTTAGGGGTGTGGTCCTGGTCAAGACAATCTCCTGAACTCCAAACTGAATGTCAGAATGGGAAAGAAAGGTGATTTAAGCAATTTTGAGCGTGGCATGGTTGTTGGTGCCAGACGGGCCGGTCTGAGTATTTCACAATCTGCTCAGTTACTGGGATTTTCACGCACAACCATTTCTAGGGTTTACAAAGAATGGTGTGAAAAGGGAAAAACATCCAGTATGCGGCAGTCCTGTGGGCGAAACTGCCTTGTTGATGCTAGAGGTCAGAGGAGAATGGACCGACTGATTCAAGCTGATAGAGGAGCAACTTTGACTGAAATAACCACTCGTTACAACCGAGGTATGCAGCAAAGCATTTGTGAAGCCACAACACGCACAACCTTGTGGCGGATGGGCTACAACAGCAGAAGACTCCACCGGGTACCACTCATCTCCACTACAAATAGGAAAAAGGGGCTACAATTTGCAAGAGCTCACCAAAATTGGACAGTTGAAGACTGGAAAAATGTTGCCTGGTCTGATGAGTCTCGATTTCTGTTGAGACATTCAGATGTTAGAGTCAGAATTTGGCGTAAACAGAATGAGAACATGGATCCATCATGCCTTGTTACCACTGTGCAGGCTGTTGGTGGTGGTGGTGTAATGGTGTGGGGGATGTTTTCTTGGTACACTTTAGGCCCCTCAGTGGCAATTCGGCATCGTTTAAATGCCACGGCCTACCTGAGCATTGTTTCTGACCATGTCCATCCCTTTATGGCCACCATGTACCCATCCTCTGATGGCTACTTCCAGCAGGATAATGCACCATGTCACAAAGCTCGAATCATTTCAAATTGGTTTCTTGAACATGACAATGAGTTCACTGTACTAAAATGGCCCCCACAGTCACCAGATCTCAACCCAATAGAGCATCTTTGGGATGTGGTGGAACGGGAGCTTCGTGCCCTGGATGTGCATCCCACAAATCTCCATCAACTGCAAGATGCTATCCTATCAATATGGGCCAACATTTCTAAAGAATGCTTTCAGCACCTTGTTGAATCAATGCCACGTAGAATTCAGGCAGTTCTGAAGGCGAAAGGGGGTCAAACACAGTATTAGTATGGTGTTCCTAATAATCCTTTAGGTGAGTGTATAGGCAGTCCAAGTTTCGGTTTCTCTTTTTGAATGACGAATATATACAATTGATACCTGATATAGACAGTTATTTCCTTACACACAGATGCAGAATGCACGCTAGTTGGCCTTTGGCTGTTTGCAGCGTGTTTAAGCACAGCTTTTTCGCCCAGACACACTTTAAAGCGAGGTGACAACACAGTCGGTTTTCATTGAACCTTGTTGTCGGTTTTGTGTGTCACGTTCTTTACAGTCAGATTAGCTTGACTTTATTCAGGTTGGAGATCAGGTGTTTGACTTGCAGGACATTCACTTTGAGCTTCAGCTACTCTGTTTGGGATTATTGGATTTGTATTATATCCAAATCAGAGGCCAGTATAATCCAATAAGTGTGGATTGGATTATTGGACTTGTATATCCAAATCTGAGATCAGTATGATTGGAAGACCACTCATAGTTTGAAATCAGTTCTAAGATTCTCAAATGAAGTCGAATTAGAATCACTCAACGTAAAGAAACTGCCAATTATAGACATGCACATCATCAGTTATATCTGCGTGCACGTGATGGGCTAAAGGTTAGAAACATTCTAGTTTGCATATGATAAATGAAACTATATAGGCACTTTATCAAAGCAACTTACAAATGCACAAGCAATTTCTTATACCAGAGCCAAAAATTATCACAATATTGCAGTGCCCATTCCCAAAAGGTTAGTGCAGAAGGAAGTAAAATAGAGAACAAGAAGAGATTTTATTTTAAGGAAGTGCCTTTGATTGTGGTTTTAGTACACTGCTGGCGGAACTGGTATAGTATTTATTGTCTCATCTTACCACAAAATATTTCCTCATTACTCTCATGAATTTTGACAAAATTCGAGTTTGCTTTCTCAAGGTTCTTTCTGAGTATTTACATCTCATCACAGTGTTATGCAGAGCTCTTGATCGGTGTTGATATTGTTAAACAAAACCATTAAAACTGCGTTATTTAATTGAAATAAAGCTGAAATAAAATATAAATATTAGATGAAAAACTTAAACTTAAAAAAAAAAGCATTACACCCAACACTGATTACAAGTAAAGCATAATCAGATTACGTTTTTTAAAGTAACTAGTAAAGTAACACCATTACTTTTAAATTTACAACAAAATATCTGAGTTACTTTTTCAAATAAGTAACCCAAGTTACTTTGTTTTCCCATTTTTTGACTGACAGCTTGACAGCATGACGCAGGAAGTCTAAAGAGATACTTCTAATAATAATCACAGAGAATGCTTGCAAGGAAAATAACACACCACATTAAATACACAACGAGAACTGACTAAGGAATGAACAAAACAGGAAGTACTTACAGTTGTGGTCAGAATTATTGGCACCCCTGGTAAATATGATCAAATATGGCTGTAAAAATGCCATGCCCCATTATAAGGTTTCTAGAAGAAGCTGTCAGGTTTTGTGTCTGACAACGGAATATGCTGGATTTTGTTTTTGGGGGAGCGAGGAGGATTGTTCTTGAAACCCTCCCAAACAATACAGTGGTGTTTGATTTCTTTTAGGCTTTCTTTTGCTGCACATCAGAACTATATTCTATATATAATACCTTTGTGTTTCCTCATATATAAACTCCTGTGAAACAAGAAGTCATAGCTAAACAATTTCTGGTTAAAAAATGTAAATATGAATGGGAATATTTTACTCATAAAAAATTGGCCAATAATTGTTGCCAACGTGTTTTGGAGTATTTCATAATGCGATCCCCCCCCCCTTAAATTATTTCACTTCTATGAAAGGTTCGATTTTTGTGAATTTCTTTAATGAAAGATCAAAAGGATAAACAATGCAGATTTATTTTTACACGCATCTTTGTTAATATTTACCAGGGGTGCCAATAATTCTGACCATAACTGTATACACAGAGAACTAAACAAGATACAGGAGGGATTCATTAAAAACCATGGTAACAAACAAGGAGAACTTGTTAATACAGGAACATGAACAACAACATAATGAAACAGAACACAATCCTGACATCCTGTTCTCATGTTGAGAGAAATCTTGAGTAAGTGCAGACATAGATATCCATAATAAAGGCTAGATGTCTCGTCCGCGCTGCTGGCCAATGGAGGTCGACGTCCGCACCTGGCGGCCATCTTGTCACAGGCAGCTCGCTCACTCGTAACATTGTGTTTTAATGGTGCATGTACTTTTTAAATAACCATAACTTGCTCAATTTTCTACCGATTTTCAAACGGTTTGGTTTGTTATAAACGGCAGAGATGTAGTTATGACACTGCACACTTATGAATAATAAGTGTATCAATAAATAATCATCCAGAATTATAGCCACGTTAATAACGTTTGTAAGAAACCAAACCGTTTGTAAATCCGTCAAGATTTCAAGGAGATAAGAGTATTTGTGTTCGTGCTGATCACTCATCTTACATCAGGAACCACAGAGCCCACCAGAAAGCTTGCCTGTGACAAGATGGCCGCCGGTGATGACGATAGAGACTCCGCCGTAAGACATCTGGCCTTTATTATGGATATCTATGAGTCCAGAGGCGTTTTGTGTGTGTGTGTGTGAACATGATGCTTATTGTAGTTCTAGACTAATAGGGGTAGTTTTTTGGCGCTTTTCCACTACACAGTACCAGCTCGCCTCGGCTCGGCTCGACTCGACTCGACTCGCCTTTGTTTGGTTTTCCACTGTGTAAAAGTTGTACCTGTACCTGCTTTCGGGTACTTTTTTTCGTACCACCTCCGGCGAGGTTCTAAGCGAGCTGAGGCGAGCTAAGCCGATACTAAAATGTGACGTGAAAACAATGCCGACTGCTGATTGGTCACAGAGAATCTGCGTCATCATTGCACGCGCCAGATGGAGTATCCAGAATAACCCTGCCATTTCTAAATAGTTTGGCCAGAGATAGTTACTAAACTTACTACTA